GCGGGTCGGGAGTGAGGGGCACCGGCAGAGCGGGGGGGAGCCCGGGGGGCTGCGGGTCGGGAGTGAGGGGCACCGGCAGAGTGGGGGGGAGCCCGGGGGGCTGCGGGTCGGGAGTGAGGGGCACCGGCAGAGTGGGGGGGAGCCCGGGGGGCTGCGGGTCGGGAGTGAGGGGCACCAGCAGAGCCGTCTCTCTCGCCCAGGTGCAACATGGTCCCCCAGCTCGTTCATCGTGGACGATGGGACACGGGTGGACGGGCTGAACCTGGGGGCCGTAGTCGTGGACCGGGTGAACGGCTCCGTGTTCCTGTTCTACGCGCTCTGCATTCACCAGCCGCAGCCCTGCGTCTCCAGCACGATGCTCATTCACAGCCGGGACGACGGCCAGTCCTGGAGCCGCCCCCGCAACCTCTCCCAGGAGATTGGCCTGGACCTGTTTGCCCCAGGGCCCGGGCTCGGCATCCAGGTGGGCACTCGGGGAGCTGCCCCGATTTCTGTCGTGGTGTTCTACTCGGCTGTGTCCCCACCCCAGAGCCAGCCACATCTCCACGCTGGGCAGGGGTGTGACGTTCCCCTGGTGTTATCTGGGCCGAGGATCTGCTAGGTCACCCCAATCCTCCAGTCTGGGAGCCAGCCTTGCCCTGCTCCGCAGTGAGAACCCCCATTCCTGGGCTGTTCACACACAGCCTCTGGCTTGTAAGCTGCTCCCAACTACTTGCAAGCGAATGACACTCGCCAATATCTCCGGCCCCGGAAACAACCCCAGGAACCTCCGTCTGGCAGTGTCCAGTTATGCCCACTGAACGCTGCAAACTGATAGGAGTTCGTCAGTTTAACAAAGAAATTGATTTGCACCAGGCTTGTTCTCCCCAGGAGAGTCCCTGACACATGGCAAACCAAACGCACGGCGTCAGGTAGAACAAACCAACAGATTTATTAACTACCAAGGTAGAGTTAAGTGATTATAAATCAGAGCCCAACAAGTCGGATTTGGTCAAATGAAATAAAAGCAAAACGCGTCCGAAGCTGATCTGAACACTTTCAGCGCCCTCACAAACTTAGCTGCATCTCACCACAGGCTGGTCGCCCTTCAGCCAGGCTCTCCCCTTTGAGCAGCGCTTCAGTCGCTTGGTGTGGTGTCTGTAGATGGAGGTGGAAAAGAGAGGAAGAGCCCAGCAAACGTCTCTCCCTTTTATCATGTCCTTTCTTCCCTCCTGGCTTCCACCCCCCCACCCCGCCCTGGGTCAGGTGAACATTACTGACTGACCAAGGGAAGGGGGTGACTCACTGGAGAGTCCAACAGATCCTTTGTTGCTGCCTGAGCCATTGTTCCTGTGAGGCTGGGCTGGGTTTGTCCCATCCATGCCCTGATGAGGTGTGAACTGCCCCACTGCTCCTGGAGAGTTTTCTCCTGGGCTTGCTTTAAGCCATGAGGACACATTTTCAGCCTCATAACTATATACATGAAATTACAACTCATAACATCACTATAACAAGTATCGGGGGGTAGCCGTGTCAGTCTGTATCCACAAAACCAACAAGGAGTCCGGTGGCACCTTAAAGACTAATGGATTGATTTGAGCATAAGCTTTCGTGGGTAAAAAACCCACTTCTTCAGATGCATAGAGTGAAAACGACAGATGCAGATGTAAATATACTGACACCTGAAGGGAAGGGAGTTCCCTCGCCAGTGGAGAACCAGTGTGGACAGGGCCGGTTCGATCAGGGGAGATTGGGCCACTCCCAATAATAGATGAGGAGGTGTCCCTCCACAAATGAATAAATGGACACAAATCGGACAGCAGGAATCATAACATACAAAAGCCAGTAGGAGACACTTCAACCTCCCTGGACATTCGATAACAGATTGAAAAGTTGCCATCCTGCAACAAAAACACTCGAGAAACAGACTTCAGAGAGAAACAGCAGAACTACAATTCATCTGCAGATGTAACCCCATTAACCTGGGCTTGAACAGGGCCTGGGAGTGGCTGGCTCATTACAGAAGAGTTTTGCCTCTCCTGGAATTGACACCTCCTCATCCATTATTGGGAGTGGCCCAATCCCCCCTGATGGAACTGGCCCTGTCCACACTGGTTCTCCACTGGCGAGGGAACTCCCATCTCTGCCCCGTCAGTATAACAGCACCTGCAGCTGAAACTTTCACTCCAGGCAGCGGAAGAAGTGGGGGTTTTACCCACAAAAGCTTATCCCCAAATCAATCCGTTGGTCTTGAAGGTGCCACCGGACTCCTCGTTCTTACTGTAGCAATGACTGTAACCTCACTGGAACAGCCGTGCTCAGGGCATCACGAGCGTTTGAACACACCCGGCAGGACAAACTTTGCATTGGATCCCACGCAATCCTTTTATAAAGATGAACGTGGGGGTGCAGGGTGTTCCCCCGAGTTACAAAGCGTCACAAGGAGTCCCCCATGCCCCACCCCAGAGCCAGCCGCATGTCAGCGCAGGGGGGGGGTCCCTGGATAACCAGCCCCTGCCCCACCCCAGAGGGGCCGCATCTGGGCTGGGGGGCTGGTGACTCAACCCCCTCTCTCCTCGCCCGGCCTCAGAAACGCTACGAGCCCCGCAGGGGGCGGCTGATCGTCTGTGGCCACAGGACGCTGGACCTGGACGGGATCTACTGCTTGCTGAGTGACGACCACGGCGAGAACTGGCGCCTGGGGGGGGGCCCTGCGCGGGCTCCCCTACGGGCTCCCCAAGTTAGCCCATGACTTCAACCCCGACGAGTGCCAGGTGAGCAGGATGGGACCCAGGCGTCCGGGACAGGACCCCCCCAGTGCCCAGACAGGGAGGGAATGGGACCCAGGCGTCCGGGACAGGACCCTCCAGTGCCCAGACAGGGAGGGAATGGGGCCCAGGCGTCCGGGACAGGACCCCCCTGTGCCCAAACAGGGAGGGGATGGGACCCAGGCGTCCGGGACAGGCCCCCTCCTCAGACAGGGAGGGGACGGGCCCCCTCCTCAGACAGAGAGGCGATG